TAGGAAAATTCATAATAAAATTCCATCATCTAGTTAGATTCAGATTTTATTTTTAACAAAAAAGAACGGTAATCTGAACGTGAAAAGTAGATGTGGCCAAGAGATTTTTGAGCAGATTGTTACTTGTCTCACATGTGGTTCTTTGGCTTATTCAGTTCCTGTTTTAGTCTTTTTTGTGTTGCTACACAGATTACCTGAGACTGGGTAATTTATAAAGGAAAGAGGTTTATTTGGCTTATAATTCTGGGACATCTTTGTCTGGCACAGGCCTCAGGCTGCTTCTACTCATGGTGGAAAGTGCCAGGCAACCGGCTGGTACAAGCAGATCACATGGCGACAGGAAGCAAGAGAGAGAGAGAGAAGGTGCCAGGGTCTTTTTAAGCAATGTGCTCTCACGGGAACTAACAGAGCAAGAACTCACTCATTAATCCCCCCTCCCCCAGGGAGAGCATTAATCCATTCATGAGGGATCCGCCCCCATGACTCAATCAGTTTCCAACACTGCCACATCGGGTATCAAATTTCCACATGAGTTTTGGAGGGGACAACACATCCAAACTCCATCAGTTACTAATTCCATTCAATCAGTAATAGTGTTGTATAGTTCTTTAAAGTTTATGAAAAGCTTTCAAGCATGTTGTCATGTGATCTTCATAGGACCTTAGCTGCAGAAGGTGGGTCAGGTAATGTTATCACCATTATAACAGGGGGAGTTCCAGACTCAGACAGGTTGACTTGCCAAGCAAGGAACTAACAGGGCTGATCTAGATCTTTTAATTGCTGTGTTTCAGCTCTTTTCACTATGCATTTGCTGCCAGTGAACATATGGCATTTCTATTAGGTGGAGAAAAGGGGTTTAGTCACATTAGTTATTGTTTCCAAATACAGTAATAACAGCAACAACCTCAAAAATAATATTAGCTAACAGTTTCTGGGTACTTCACATGAGCCCTCACTGCTTTAAACAACAAACCTGAGAGGTAGGTAATGTTTTTAATCTTCTCAGTGCCGGAGCATATTGACCTGTTATTTTTTCCATTTTACAAGTGAGAAAACTGTAGTTCAAAGAAATCAAGTAACCTGCCCCACTCACATCTCTACTAAATGGTGAAAACCAGGCAGTCTGTGCAATTAACAACTTCACTATACTGTCTTCACAGCTAAATTTGTTCTTTAAATCAAAAACGGAGAAAAGAAAAAGAAAGAAGTAATCAAACACTTAAATTAGTGGCTCTCAATCATCCTTTTATATCCATAATAGTCAGTATGTGGTTGAACACAGACTAGAGAAGAACAACGTCTTAATGTAGTATCTAGAGGCCTTTAAGTGTTATGGGCTGCTTTTGATGCGTGCAGCTAAAGTGCTACATTCCGGCTACCAGTGAGTGAGACGATTAGGAAGAATATTTACATCTAATTTGATAGGAACCTTAAAATCCTCCAGAGTTTCTGAAGACAATTCATTACTATTACTTCTTGGCTAATTTTTCATCGTTCCCCAACAAGTAAGACATAAGTTTGGATTGCAGACAAGGTAAGACCAGTTCATTTTTATCTTAAACAGTTTGATTCCTGAAGCCTAACATTAGAACTCAATCTAGTTTTCATAGCTTTTTTCTCAGAAATAAAACATTTTTATTTAATTTCACTTACTACAAGTATAGATATAGGTGATGAGTTGATTTAACTTAATGCTTTTATTTATTATAAAATCAATACTAAGTATCATCCTTAATTCTGTTTTAATTTCTTTACATTTCCTTTTAACATGTTATTTACTTTATGTATGTATAAAACTGCTTGAACTCTATACACAAATGGATACATACATATATATGACTGATTATTTGTTTATAAATTCAGATGGCAAGATGAACATTTTTAAAAATCTTGAAGAAAAAGTAACTTGAAAAAGTAACTTTAAAAAGTGCTGCTTTTTTTAGCATTCAGTAATACCATTTTCATGTGACTAAACTTATAGTTAATTTGCAAATTGAAAAGAGATGTGAATACCACCTCACTAGGAATCTGAATTATTGAATCTCTTTTTTTCCATTGGTCCAAAACCACATCATGGAACGTGTCATTTAGAATGCACTTTTTCTTTTCACTTATAAGCATTCTGAACTACTTGCTTTAAGTATTGAGTAGCTGTATCAGCAAAAAATACGATAAGAGGTATGATTATTGTGTGCCCATATGAAGCTAGCATGAGAACCTTCACGAAGAAACAATAACGGGGCTCTGAGCCACACGGATTTAAGAAGCGTATGAATATAAAACAAATCATTGTGTAAGGAATTGTTGAAATTAAAGAACATGCTGCTCCACAAAATGATCCAAAAATAGAAGCCCTGATTCTATGATTAAAGAAAAACTGGTAAAACCCAAAGCTTTAAAAAACACATGCACACATCTGAGAACATCCCCCAAAGTGCCCCTCTTAATCATTAACCTAAGGCTTGTTATTTGTACATCCAACGACAACAATACTTTTGGTATTTAACTTACCCAACTAATTTATTTTTATTAGCTGAAAATGTGAGTCATTTTAGCCATTTTTGAAAGCCACATTTTTAAAAAAAACCTTTTTATTTATTAATTTTTCATTCATTAGACTGATGTTCAAATAGTTTTGACTTTAGGGCTGGTTAAGCCATTCTCTAAGCTCCTTTTCCTCTTCAACTGATTCTTCTCAGCTTGAGACATTCATATATATTGTTTCCAAGATTATGACATAATCCAATTCATGATGTTATTCCTGTGCTCTTTGGTCAGCAGTGGTGACAATGGGTAGGGTGCTTGCAGAAGGATGGTGACCCCTTTTGGGCTCTTCCATGGCTGGCAGACACACTTCTGTCCCTGAATGTCATACCCATTTGTAGTATCTCCTGAAGCAAACAAAAGTCAGCAAAAGTTTAATGAACAAAATTTCCTTTAGATTCAGAGTACAAGACAATTAGAAATCAAACCAGAATAATGTATTTACAAATGCAAATATTTGTCAAACGAAAGGACAATAAGTGCAAAAAGTTATTGGATAAAAGGAGCAATAAGGGTGGAAGTTTGAACTTTAGAGAGAGGAAGAGAGAGAAATTGTCAGGACCGCTCATCCTTTACTTCCTCTCACATGTTTCTCCAGGTGATCTTTCCTCCTTTTTGTTCCCCAGAGGGCAATTTTCTCTTCTTTTACCTGTATAAAGACTGAGGTGGAGGACACCTCAGCACACTGTAGACTGAGACAGCACGGGTTCAATGCTACTCAAAGGGGGACAGGTAGAGACATGGTTAAATAAATAAAATAAAAAAATAAATAAATAAATAAATAAATAAATAAATAAATAAATAAATAAATAAATAAATAAATAAATAAAATTTTTAAAAAGTTAAAAAATTATTACATCTATGTAGAAAAAACTTAAAAGACACAAAAGGTTTTAATTTAAGAAGTAGATGTCTTGGTCCCTCAAGCCATTGGTTCTAATTTCAGACAATGGCCATATCAACACTTTCCTATGCTTCCTTCCAGGATGTTATGATTACGGACATGTGTTTGCTCATGTGTGTTCTTTTTACCCAAATAGCACCTCACTCTATACACTAAAAAATGAAGATGATTACATTCATGTGTCTTTTGTTTACCGAATAACATCTTTTTGTGTCATTATATATCTAGTAACTCTCAGGGTTTTTCACGGTTGTATAGAGTAATGTGCCATGTTATAAATTAATGGTTAATATTAAAAATGGTTTAATGTTTTAATAGTTCTATAGTAAGGTGTTTCATTGTATGGAAGGCTGTAATTTATTTGATCATTCCACCATCGATGGAACAATTTCTAAGTTATTTGTTGTTTTGCTTGTTTGCTATATCATTATTTCTGTCTCAATTATCATTCAACACGTGTCTCTGGGTGCCAATGCCAGTACAATTTTGTTCTGACATTTTGTCTAGCCATGTTGAGACTGTTCTGACAGCAAACTGCTCACATCATCCAGGCTTCTCAGGTCCACTTGAGACTGGTGACCTCATTTTTGACCATACATTATGTCAACTGGTACCCATGCACCTCAGGCACAAACAGCTTTAATCAACAAATAGTTCCTGCTTCTCACCTGCTTCCTCTGGTGGGACTCACAGCATTTGCTATCCCCAGTGCCTGGTAGAATGTGGATTGGGGGTAGATTAATTAAAAGATTGTGCATTTTGTTCTGGGCCTTTCCGGTTCATTGGTTACCTCTTACAATCAGCAACAGAAGCCAGCCCTAGAGAGTTAAAAATTCCCTGGAGTCATGTCTTTTGGCCATGGTGTAGGGTCAAGTGTCCCACCGGGATCAAGCACAGAACATCACGAGATCTTGTAAAGGGCAGAACTGCTTTTAACATGATGCTCACCAAACCATGTTACTGAAAATTTTAGGTGGTTCACGCAACTAGTCTCATTGACTTCAAAGTAAAATGTGTTATTATGCTCAGAGGTATTATTAGCTTTCAGTTTGACATTAATTGTTGTGGGACCAAGCCACAGAGGAAATGTTTATCTGCAAGACGACGATAAATATGAGGATGCTGACCACAGAAGAATATTCCTTTTAAGGTCTGTTGGTTACAACACACACACACACACACACACACACACACACACACACACACACACACACACCCTCCCTTAGTTTTTGCTGTCTCTGAGGGCAGACCTCTGGATAAGAACACATTAGTGGGACCACAGAGCTTCACTCTCCCTGCCCCAGAATTCATTCAAGGAGCACAGCTGGGGCCTCTCCACCGTTATTGTTATGGCCTCAAATGAAGGCCTTGTCGCCGGGCGGGGGTGGGAAGGCACTGGAGCGCAGCAGCATTGAGGGCTTCCGAATTCCCTCCTCTGTCTCTGATTGGTTGAGACCCGGGAGTTAGCGACCGGCCCCCTGCGGCTCGACTCGCCATTGGCTGGGAAGAGGTGGCAATCAGGGCGGGGGCCAAGGCTGTAGCTCTCGCTCCAACTCGATGCTGCCGCCCCGGCCGGGTTGCGCTGTCGCCGCTGCCGCCACTGCCTGGGTCCCCTCAGCTGTGTCTCTGCGTGGGGGCTGCCTCCCGGGCTCCCAGCGCGGACACCATGGTGAGTGCTCTTGGCCAGGTCAGGCCTGAACCTGACGCCGCGGCCGGGGCCGGGCCTGGCTGCCAGAGGGAACCGGCGGGGCCGCCAGAGCTTGAGGCGCGGGCCGGGGGAGCGCACCGCCGGCCGCCAGAGTCGCCTCCCCGTTTGCATCGGGTAGGGGAAGTGGGGACACCGGGGACCGCAGCGGGGACGATCGGTGCCTTTGCTTCCCGGGCGGGTCTGCCGCGCCGCACCGCAGCTTCCCCAGCTCTGGAAGGGGAGGCGCGGCCGAGGCGTGGGGTCTTCCCCGCTCCCGCCGGCCCCGGCAGGGTGGGAGGCTCCGGGTGCGCGTCCCCGCGCTGTCCCTGATGCCCAGCCTGACTCTGCGCGGTGACAGGTGAGAGGGTGAGAAGATAGCGTGGGGGTGGCGCGGATGGTGACGGGGGGAATCTTCCCCGTTAGTCGGACCCCTAGGGGCGGCGGCCAGAGGGCGGGGTGGACGGTGAGAGGAGCGCGGCGGGAGCGCACGCGGCAGCCTCGCCCGAAACCCCTTCCCACCCAGGGCCGGCTCCTGACGCTCGGGTTTCTGCCTGTCCCCGCAGTACGGATTTGTGAATCACGCCCTGGAGCTGCTGGTGATCCGCAATTACGGCCCCGAGGTGTGGGAAGACATCAAGTAAGTGGCCACCTCGTCTGGCTCTGGCCCCGCGTTGGCATGGTGCATGGGGTGTCCCGAGGGCGGTCCCCAGCGCCTAGCTTCATGCTCTGCCTTCTGCAGATGCCTCCGCCCGCTGCTCCCTGCTACAGCTGCGCTCCCACACTCCGGAGCGGGGACCCGGAGAGGAGGGGCGGCCGGGGCGGGGCTGGGAGGGCGAGAGCCGCGGAAAGGAGCCCCTAGGGGTGGCCGCGGCCTCCTGACCTGGCCTGAGCGTGGGAACGCGCCACCAGCGTCCGGGCGGCTCCCAGCTCTGCGGCCGGTCGGCTCCCACGCGGAGAGAGGTCCGGGGAACCACACAGGCCGCCACGAGGTTCATGCTCCTAGAGGCCTAGGGAACAAACGGAAGAAAGACCTAGACCCGTTTGTGATTTGCAAACCTCGCTGATGCATAAAATAAGATACACACACACACACACACACACACACACACACGACTATTTCTTGACCAACAGTCACCCAAGAGCATGTATTCATTCTGAAATAAAGTGAAATTGGAATATTTTCTCTTTCATATTCCCCCAATTTTTGTTTTCTACTGTGGTGAAGTCTGTCAGTTTTAAGGGGGGCCGCCTCATTTTAGTCTACAGCTTTGAACCCAGTATTTGGGATGTAAACAGAAATACCACACCCACTTCAGAGTTCAAACTTATCGGAATGACTGGTCATCAACTCTGTGGGCACACTGAGCATTTCATTCTAACAAAATTATCTCTCTTTTCCTCTCACGCTAGTAAAATTTGCATTTAACTTCTTGTGGCTGACCACCACCAACTAGCTACACCCAAACCATATTTATCAGTTTTTGCATTAGAGCAACACTGGAAGAATCACATTCTATTAGACGTGGAGGGAGGGGTTACCTGGGTGGGCAGATGGGAACACATTGTTATAATTTACTCTGGATTTCTGGTATTTACTGATTTCATTTTATTTCCAGTAGGTGACGCTTCAATGCTGTTTTTTCCTAAGCTGTTTTTTTCTATTACAATTATTAGCAATCAATTCCAATAGGTCATATTATGCAGTTATATGCTTGAGATTTCTTATTACTGTCTGTTTCCATGGAAATGACCAGGGTTACGCATTAAGCAGTAGAATGCAACTTTTCCTTCCCTTGGGTCTATATCATTGAGCATTTCGTTCATGGTTCATAAAGCATTTATATTATCCACAGGACACATCTACATATGATAAAGAGAAGTTGAGATTTGGCACTTAGGTGGTTGAAAACAATGAGAGGCTAGGCAGTAAAGATTATTCTGGAATTTGAGTTCTCTGTCCACCTTATTAATACACTCGTAATTTTATTTTGCTTGGTAGACAGAGAGGGCAGACCTCAAGAACAAGATTTTAAACAATGTATCATTGGTATAGGGTTATTATTTTTAAGCCACTTTCTTTGTGAATTTATGAAAGCAACATACATATCCCCTATATGCCCCTGTATGATGTTTTCTCATCTGTAAGATAGAATTCCCAAATTTCCCAGTGGATGTGCTATGACAATGAATATGTTTAGAATTTTGAAAGCATAATAAAAAGATGGCTATTATGATTAAACAGTCATTATGTAATTTAACCAGATTTGGAATGTATAGCTGGCCTATTATCAATTTAGATCATTAGTAAGTACAGAAATGAAAAATTATGCTTTATAGAGAAATGTATCCAAAATTTTAAAGTTAAATTATCAATAAATTTGTTTATATTGGCCATATTTTCCCCTGAGAAGTGCAAAATATCTAAAAATGTATAAATTCTATTGATAAGAACTTGACTCTGTCAAATCAAACTAAGAATATTGTTCCATTCTACTTTAAAATATAATTATTAATTTTTAATTAAACATCAGTATCTTTTAGTTCACAAAGTTATCTTTCAGTAGCTTCAAACAGTATTTTTAATTTGTTTACATCATAATACTTTCAATCATCCAGAACATTTTTTTCCTTGTTAAAAATGAATAAATCATATCTTTTTTTTTTTTTTTTAATAAAATGACCTCAACGATTATGCCCCTGCAAGGGACATTCTGTTAGTCAAACTAATGTGGGTAATCCAGGTGTTAATTTTGATTCTTTATTTGTCTAAGCATCCTTTTTTTGGATCCCAGCTTGTCTTGGGTACAGTTTTAGTATCTGGGCTGGAGAACATGGTTCAGCTGTCTGCATTGAGATTTAAGCTGCTCACTGGTTTCCAATCCAATACCCCTGAGGAATTGCTAAATGCTCCCTGGAAGAGTATTTGCTTACCACAGAAGAGATTCTTACTTCTTGGGACAGGGGAGGAGAAGTTGGAGGAGTGTAATTGAAAAATGATTCCTGAATGATTCTGATCCCTCCTCCCTACCCCATCCTCTGCTCCAAGGAAGATTACTGCAGTCATTGGTCCAAGATACTTTCAGTTTTAACTTTTTATGTGAAATTTAATATATGAGAAAAAAATAATTTTTTCTCAGTAAGTACCTCTACCTTACTTTTCGATCTGTGAGAAACTATCTCAATTGTTGTTTATAAAATTTAATATAATACTTTTTTTGGTTTAGTAGGAAATGGCCATCCATCCTTCATGAGAAAGGATGAGAAAGGATGCCAAACATTTAATGACAAATAAAACCCCAAGTAACAGATTCCAGACAGAAAATTCTAAGTGGATAAGAGCCAAAAAATGCTTCATTGTAAACTCAGTATCCTCTTACACTCTTACCAACAGTATAACCATTTCAAAAGAGCTTTAAATTCCTCTTTTTAAGAAAAAGAAAAATTGTCTAAACCAAGGGCCAGCAAACTTTCTCTTAAAGGGCCAGATACTAAGTGCTTTAGGTGCTGCAGGCCAAGTCAAAATTGAAGATATTATGTAGGTATCTATATAACTATTACAAGGTAACCATTGAAAAATGTAAAACTATTCTTAGCTTCCTAGACTGGAAAAAAACAAGCAGTGGGCTACAGATTTGCTCTACAGGCTGTAGTTTGCCGACTTCTGATCTACGCCATAACAAATATGAAATAGAAGAGGCCTCTCTGATTTTACTTCAAATCTTGTTTTGTTGATTTCCCTCCAGTTTTCGGATGGTCATTTGAAGAAATCATGATTCCTAAATGATGAAAAAAATAAATTATCAATTTAGAAAATACATAAAGTCAGGGTTTATACATATTGGAAAAACCTATAAATACTTTATTCAACTATTTCTGTTTGTCCGTGTATCAGCGCTGGCTAAACTAATAATTGCATCAAATTACTGGGTTCGATTTTAGGTTTTCTAACTTCACTGGAACATATGGATTCTAAAGATGGATTATAAAAACTGAAAAAATAAGGTGATTAGAATTTTATTAAAAAACAAACAAACAAAAACACCTCCCCTAAAACTATAATTATTTGATTACAGTTGAGCAGGCCAAGGAACAAGTTAAAAATAGTTTTTAAACTCTAAAGTGCTACACAGTGTATTGATGAACCCTTCTCTGTTTAATAAAGATCTGAGATAAACAGTTGGATCAAAATTTTGATATGATAAATATAAATTTAATAATAATTTAATGCATTGTTAGTTGATAAATATTATAGTTAGTTTCTCTACAAGGCTGTCAATCATTTTCCCTTGTGTAAAGAATATATATTTGTTTAGCATGGTTTATTTACTTGCATCACGGCAGCATGCTTTTTCATTCATTGATTCATTTTTTCTTTTATTCTTTATTAAGCATATCTGTAATGAACATAGTCTAGTGTTTTAGGCACTGAGGATAGAAAAGCAAATGATGTAATCTTTGCCTTGAAAAAAAAAGTCTAGAGATATCAGGGTATTTTTAGTCTTATTATTTTTTTAAAAAATTTTCCTGCTTGTAACTCAAATATAAAAACATTTTGACTGTTAGATAACATATACCAATCTCCCAGTTTGGAAATTAATGTGTGCAGTTGAATTTGCTAATCACGAAGTCATCATCATTGTTCAAATAAACATTTTGTATAAACTAGTTATGGACTTCCCATGTTTCCTAAATTTTCCAAGCCTCAAGTGCATAACAAAACATAATACCTAATTTATAAGGTTATTGTAACATGTTGAATAATTCTGTAAAATGCTTACCAGAGTTCTTGAAAAATAGCTGCTTAATAAATGGTAGCTTTTATTTTTAATTTTACTTCCCAGCTCACTTCAAAGATATGACGTTCCGCTTTAAATAGTAGTAGCTCATTGCTACACAGTACATCAGTCTAAATGTTACCCTATCACTCTAGGGTAAGTAATAACTCTATTGTCATTTTTCATTCTTCTGTCTCTTTTATCCATTCCATGCAGCCGGTACCAGTACTCTGAAATGAAAGTGCCTCTTACCCTATCACTCTAGGGTAAGTAATAACTCTATTGTCATTTTTCATTATTCTGTCTCTTTTATCCATTCCATGCAGCCGGTACCAGTACTCTGAAATGAAAGTGCCTCTTAAGCACCCCTGTTCTTTTGTTCTGGCTCTGATCACTTCTCTTGCACTACTCTATCAGCCCCAAGTTAGGTTTTCTGTGTCTGACTTGTCCCATTCCTCTCCATCCTGCAGATCTTGGTAAGAATATTATTTTCATTATGCTGTTTTTCTGCTGAAGTTCTACTTTGGAATCAATCTTACATCATATTCTGGCCACTTCCCTGCCCCCAATCCCTGTTTGTTATTTGAAAATGCAACATATGTCCCTAGTATTTATTTTATCAAAACAAATTAAAACAAATGAGATAGAGCACCACATGTTTTGTCATGTTTTAATCAAATTTTTGTATATATAAATGTACGAATTACATTTCTATACCTTTCTGTACCCATGCTCAATTAGTAATAAACCTATATATGTTTTAAAGTATTAACAGTACTTTATATTATAAAGCTATTTAAAATTTCCAAAGTTCTTTTCTGTCTGTAATTTCAGTTAAGTGCTACGACATTCATTTGAAACA